TTTGTTTTTCAGATACATGTAAAATTCAAAATGGCCGAATGGCAGGCATTTTAAGTCCCCGTTAAGGCGCAGCCTGAAAAGGGGACTTTATAATTCAGGTTTTGTCAAATGATCGTTTTCCATATTCCGTATTCCATTTTCTGCTTTTCGTCTCCAACATTTTCTCAGAAATTCTGCAGCACATATCAGTAAAATTTGGCAGGTTGATGAACAAGTCTCTGCCAAGTAGGCATGTAATAATTTTCCAGATCTGAAAATCCCAAGTGGGTCTTTTCATGATTTTCATCAAAAATTTCATCAAAAATTACAACTGCGCATGCTCAGAATAAATTAATTACTGTAAAATACTTTATTTTCGCTTGCAACTTGTTTTCGCTATTTTCGCTGAAGGAATGTTTCAGTTAAAATAAAATCCAGTGAATATACCCGTTTTCCTATATTTTACATTCAACTTGTCAAAAATCAATGAAAATAAATTCAATACAAAAAACCCAGAAAAAAGTCTTTTCAGCGAATGATAATTCCAGCTGAAATAAAATATTTTAAAGTAAGTTAGATCTGTAAGTAAGGCTGCTGTTTCACGGCTTGTGATTTCTCCATTGCGTGCAGTACTGTTTATACATGTATTCGGTTCGGCTCAGTGGTCTCATTCACTAGTTACTAGAGGAAGTAGTAACCTTATTTGATTTCAAGAACTTCAAGAAAGCGGCATAGGCGTGTTTGCAAAGGTAAGTTCTCCAGTTTCAGTAAAATTGAATGTATTGGGGTAGGATTGGTGTACATTCCGTGACGTACGGATGTGAATATTATGATAATTGCCAGCTTTATATTCTTGTGAAAAGCCAAAAAAGCAAACAATTGTCTCCAATCTACGAAACTAGTTCGTAAATTGTATACCCTATCAAATTATTGTACATGAACAATTTATTCATGGGGACATAGTTTTCAAGTAAATCGTTTTACGGTCTTTTGCTTGTGTCGCGATTTCTGAAATATCCACAATTCAAGGAAAAAGATCAATTTATTCATTATATAATAGCAGGTTGCCTATGATTATATTCGTAATATCTTATCGCATCGACCATTTACATTCAACCAAAATCATTCGTTTACTAAGTTGAATTTTACTTTATTTTTTGTAAGTTATTATAATCATTGCTGAATAATAATCAACAATTGCAATACTTCGAAAACAAGTAAGTTATTCACTTGCGAAACACAGAATGACCAGATCGTGTTACCGTGATCAGCCTGCCGTGATCATTTACTACCGGTACTAACCACTAAGCAATGTATTCGTGTTTGTATTTATTCGAAACTTCTTTTAGAACATACTTTACTTTTCGTTATCAACAAAATTAGAAAAAAATAATGCATATTACATTTTTTACAATTTCAACATTCTGCGATGCCTATTTTAGAACCAAATTAAGGCCTTTTACTCTTCTCTGAGTGTGACATTTTATAAGTACATGTTATTATGTAATTCATTATGAAAACTGACTAAATTAAATGTGATCTTATTTTTAATTGTTTGAACAAAATTATGATTTATATCGGTAATGATGTTTTCATCCAATATTAATTGTGCAATTGTTAAAATGCCTATCTACATATTTATTGGTTTTGTTTGTCCCCGTTTGGACGCAATCCGAAAATGGGGACTTATGTTTTGACCTCCGTGTGTCCAAGCGTGCGTCCGTGCGTTCGGACCTGTATCTTAACAATGCCTGGACCAATCACAATCAAACTTCACACATACATCATTCATGATATTATACATATGCACGTCAATTTGTTTCACGATCTGATTCAAGATGGCCGAATGGCGGCCATTTTTTGTGCTAAAAATCATCAAAATCAAGCATTTCTCGGCTGTTTACAGATGGATTTTGTTCAAACTTGGTATATACATTAGACATTACGGGACCTTGATTCAAATAATTTTGTTTTTCAGATAAGATTCAAAATGGCCAACTGGCATGCACTGTCATGGTTTATATATTCAAGGCAAATCACTGCATCAATCACATGCAATACAATGCAGTTCAGCAGTTCATTATTGGAAGTATATTTAAATGGATTGGTCTAAGAAAAGAAAAGAAAATTTAAATAGACACAAAGTGTAATGCTGTAACCATCACATCTGCACACAATGGGGACTCTGTCATACATGACTTGTGTTTTAATGAATGTGGTTCTAGTGCCATATCTCTGACTTGCTTAGACTGATCGATTATGTTCAAATTTTAAATATTCATTATACATCATGTCAAAGATAGACGAATATATTGGTTTGACGATCCTTTTCAAAGTGGCTAAATGGTGGCTATTTTTGTGCTAAAAAATCATCAAATATCAAGCATTTCTGGCTTTATGGATGGATTTTGTTCAAACTTGGTACATATATTAGACATTACAGGTTCCTGATGCACATCATTTATTTTTCAGATTGGATTCAAAATGGCTTTCTGGCGGCCATTTTGTTTTAATGAATGGGCTTCTAGACTCATATCTCCGACTTGTTTTGACTGATTATATTTGAATTTTAAATATTCATTATACATCATGTCATAGATAGACAGATGTATTAGTTTGACGATCCTATTTAAAATGGCCGAATGGTGGTAATTTTTGTGCTAAAAAATCATCAAATATCAAGCATTTCTGGCATTTATGGCTGGATTTCGTTCAAACTTGGTCCATACATTAGACAGTACGGGTTCCTGATGCACATCATTTTATTTTTCAGACTGGATTGAAAATGGCTTACTGGCAACCATTTAGTTTTAATGATTAGGCTTCTAGAGCCATATCTCTTAAATGCTTTGTGATTATATTCAAATTTTATATATTCGTTATACATTATGTTATATATATACATGTATTCAAAATGGCTAATTTTGAATGCTGTTCCAGAGCAATATCCTTCAATATGGACAAGTACTTATTTGACGATTAGATACAAATGTAAATCATTTTAATATTAAAAAATCATATTTCTGACATGGTTATATTCCAGCTATATTACTATGAACAAAACTATATATTTTAAATTTGATAACTAGCGGGGACTGTGCCATGCATGGCTTGTTTCTGTTGCCCTGAAATAGACATTTGTAAAAAAAAAAAATTAAAAAATCATGCTTGACATGCAGGACATTTATCCTGTCATTTGTTTTCAACTTCTTCCAATGTAAAATTGGTGAAGCCATGTAAGTGCCTTACAACCATCAACTGTGGAAAACTTGTATGTTATTGAAAATCTTTATTTTGTTGTCTGTGAATTAATATAATATTTGAAATGACTTAATGGTGCAAAATAATCTTAAGCAATTGGTCTTCTGGTGGCACTACACTGCGCATTTATGCACAGTCAGTATCCTAATACGTGATCACTAACATATGATCTCAGCTTACAAAGTGGTTGAAATAAAAACTGAATACAAAAATATAGTCCAGTAACATCTCAAACAAATTTCTGTCTGCTGTGAATACATGTTTTGTTGCATCAAATGAAAAACCCAATTTTATGATAGAGCTTGCAATCTTGTGCATCAAATGCCATACAGGGTCAAGCGATTGATCAATAAAAAATGTGGTTTTATGTATCAGGTCATTGAATGTATCCAAAAACATGGTACCAATGATCTGAAATTTCAGGAGTGCTCACTGAAGGCTTATCAATCTTGCGTATTGTCTTGTGTTAATAGATACAGTTTATGTGTAGAACATGAATCAAACTCTTACACTGTTCAAAAATTAAATTTATTTCATTTTGTATTTCTTTTTTCTATCTAGAATTTTAGTATTCTCAAATTAATTTTAAATATTACATATATCTATTCTGTACCACATGTTCTCTTTAAGCCATCTTTGCTTATACTTATTTTTAACTATGATTTTTTTTTTACAGGCAGCAGCGGTATTTTATATACCCTTCTATAACAGATCTATTGCCCTTTAGTGGCTCATCTGCAATACTGACCTCTAGTGGCTCAACTTTAATATTGCCCTGTAGTGGCTCAATATCAATATAGCCCTGTAGTGGCTCAACATCAATATTGCCCATTAGTGGCTCAACATTAATATTGCCCTGTAGTGGCTCAACATTAATATTGCCCAGTAGTTGCTCAATATCAATATAGCCCTGTAGTGGCTCAATATCAATATAGCCCTCTAGTGGCTCAACTTTAATATTGCCCTGTAGTGGCTCAATATCAATATAGCCCTGCAGTGGCTCAACATTAATATAGCCCTGCAGTGGCTCAACATTAATATAGCCCTGCAGTGGCTCAACATTAATATAGCCCTGTAGTGGCTCAATATCAATATTGCCCTGTGGTGGCTCAACATCAATATTGCCCTGTAGTGGCTCAACATCAATATTGCCCTGTAGTGGCTCAACATTAATATTGCCCTGTAGTGGCTCAACATTAATATTGCCCTGTAGTGGCTCAACATTAATATTGCCCAGTAGTTGCTCAATTTCAATATTGCCCTGTAGTGGTTCAACATTAATAATGCCCTGTAGTGGCTCAACATTAATATAGCCCTGTAGTGGCTCAACATTAATATAGCCCTGTAGTGGCTCAACATTAATATTGCCCTGTAGTGGCTCAACATTAATATTGCCCTGTAGTGGCATAACTTCACTATTGCCCTGTAGTGGTTTATCAATACTGCCCCCTGGTGGCTCATCTTCAATACTGCCCCCTGGTGGCTCATATACAATACTGCCCCTTTGAGGCATATTATTCAAGCACAGTGATATCAATCTTATAAAACATTGTAATTTGAATTTAGTAATATCACTGATAAATATCACTGCACTAAGAAGACAATTATTGTTACTGTGTTCTTGAATTATTATTTTCTCTGAAAATATGGCTTTACTGTATTTACAGTTTATTAATAAATGTTGCTGTATGTACAGTAAATACTTTTTAAACAATAAACCATACTATACTTTTAAGAAATGTTATTTGTACAATGCGAGAATGATTCTATTGCTTGGTGGTGATATAGAAACTAATCCAGGTTCTCTTGATATACAAAGAATGGGATTAACATGTCAAGTCAAAGGAGTTATTAAAGGTACTGAACATAAGGGGTCACTCAGATTTATGAAAGATATGTCTGGAGCAAGTACGTGTATGACAAAAAGTCTTGTTGCACTTGTGTACTCAGAGATTCTGGAATTCTTCAATTATCAGAAAAATATTAGATTACGGAAAATTACTTTATGATGAGGTGTATCCGCATAGACAGAATACTGATTCATCCTCCTACTTGCAGATTTAAGAGTTTGCTTCTCAGTTGAGTTATATCAATTTTGATGTTCTCCAGGTATATTTTACTGATCATTTTATTGTCTCGTGTTTATACTAGCATGCACTGTCATGGTTTATATGTTCAAGGCAAATCACTGCATCAATCACATGCAATAGAGTTCGGCAACGTGATATCACATGCAATGCAATGCAGTTCAGCTAACTTATACAGAATAACCTCATTATTGGTAGTATATTTAAATGGATTGTTAAAATGGATTGGTCTAAGAAAATTTAAATAGACACAAAGTGTAATGCTGTAACCATCACATCTGCACACAGTGGGGACTCTGTCATACATGACTTGTGTTTTAATGAATGTGGTTCTAGTGCCATATCTCTGACTTGCTTAGACTGATTATGTTCAAATTTTAAATATTCATTATACATCATGTCAGAGATAGACGAATGTATTGGTTTGACGATCCTATTCAAAATAGCCGAATGATGGCCATTTTTGTGCTAAAAAATCATCAGATATCAAGCATTTATGGCATTTATGAATGGATTTTATTCAAATTTGGTACATACATTAGACATTATGGGTTCCTGATGCACGTCATTTTATTTTTAAAATGGCCAACTGGTGGCCATTTTGTATTAATGAATGCAGCTCTAGTGCCATATCTCTGACATGCTTTGACTGATTATGTTCAAATTTTATATATTCATTATACATGTATTCAAAATAGCTGATTTTGTTTTAATTAATGCTGTTCCAGAGCAGTATCTCTCAATACTATCAGAAACAAATGTCAATCATTTTAATGTTAAACAATCATCATAATCATATTCCTGACATGTTTATGTTCCAGCTATATTACTATAAACAAAACTATATATCTTAAATTTGATAACTAACAAGGACTGTGTCATTCATGACTTGTTAGTCCCCGTTCGGACGAAGTCCGAAAACGGGGACTTATAATTCGGTCTCTGTCCGTCCGTGCGTCCGTCCAGAGTCATATCTCAGAATCCCTTGAACCAATTCTTTGCATGTGCCTAGTACTTTATGTGGGACATATGCACATGCAGTGGTTTAGCGATTCGATTCAAAATGGCCGACTGGCAGCCATCTTATTTTTTGAAAATTTTGGACATGCTTTATCAGTTTTCATTCAAACTTGGTACATAGATTAAACATGTTAGGATACATGTTCATGACGATTTATTTCACAATTGGATCAAAGA